GCACGAAACCTCTAAATGCGTGTGGCCCAGAGTGGGGCAGCCACACAGCACTGTTGGCCTCTTCCCACCAGAAGTGTGAGTGTGCTTCCTCACTTCTTCCTGCTTCTTTTATTTGTCCTTGGGTGTGGTTTTAAGCCCTTTGCTCTTAGCCAGGAGGGGAGACTTAGAGCTCTAGTTCTTAAAGTCTATAGATAGAAGTGATGATGGGAAAAAACATATTTTATAACATCCACTGGGTGAATGTAACAGTTGATGTTTCAAGAAAGAGCCGTCACTGAGCTACTGGATGCTTCCTTGTAATGTCCGGAGGCTTTGATTGCTGTGATAAGGGCAATAGGAATAGTGACATAGCAACAGCAGCAACATCCTATGTGCCAAAGAAATTGCAAACACATTACCTGAACATCCGGCCTCAACTCCTGGCATATTCCAGGAAATTTATTATTATTATTTGATTTTTATTTATTTTTATTTTGCACTCTCAGACTTTGAAGAACCAAAGCCTTCCTCTTCTCTAGGCAGGGTTATGTTTTCCTTTTTATGAAACCTCCCAGACCTCCTGTTTTATGTAAGATCAATCAGCCCACTCAACAAGTGAGTTTTAGCTTCTTTAGAACTAGAGAATGTTAGAGCTGGCAGGGCCTAAAGAATCATCTAATAACCCAGTGATCTTTGTTTATTAACTTTGATTTACACATGCAATACCTGAAGACATTCTCATAGTAAAAAAAAAAAAAATGCAAACAATGTAGATAACGCTACAGTCTCCTTGATCATCCTCTTCTCCTCTTCCCAGGGATAACCATTATATCCATTTGGTGTAAATTACTTTTCAGACCTTTTTTATGCATTTATATATAAATATACATTTATGCTTATCTACAGACACACACATCCTTAGAAATGCATAGTAGTGATTTGTGGGTTTCCTCAACCAGTAAATAGTGTCATACTGTTGCATTATTCAGCAACTTGCTTTCTTTCCCTAAACACTAAGTCTTAGAGATTGTCCGTGGCAGCACCTTGATCTTGTTAATGGCTGCATACGGGTATACCAAGTGTATGTAATCAGACCCCTGTGGACAGGCAGGTGGTTTGCAGTGCTTGACCGTTGTATAGCGTTATAAGCACTCACCATCTTTCGGCTGACTCACCTGGGCACACCTAGATAGGTGATCGGAATGGCTGGGGCGTAAGTCAGGGAAGGAGAAGGTTTAGCCGCTGGCAAACAGCTCTCCCAGGTAGCAGTACCTGCTTCCACTCCCCTCACAGTGTCTGTGAGTATCCACTTCCCAGGCCTCCATAAACATCTGCTTTTCCTGACCTGATGGCTAAACTAGTACCCCAGGGATTTTCAGCTCAGGCAGGAGTTGTTTACCTGTAGTGAACCCTGCGACCTCAGTGAGCCACTATTTCTGGTGGCAGCGTGTCTACCCCAAGTGTGGGGACCGGAAAAAAGTTGACCACTGGTCGTCAAAACATTCTTCACTGTCATTTGTAAACAAGGAAATGGAGGTTCCCACAGTTAGTCATCACTGGGTGGGAGCCAGAGTTGAGGGAACCGAATCTTAGTACAGGACTTTTTATATTGTGCTTTAAAAAAAAAGTCAATTGCGTTAAACCCACCTGTTGTGTGACATGCTTCTTTTCTGGGTTTGGAAAAAAAGGTAATTTTGACCCTCTGAAATAACATGCCCTCTAATTCTGAAATATTTTTTTCCTTGACTGCTTTTTTTTGGTTGGTGCCACAGCATCCGGCCAGGAGGTAATTTCTGTTGATAATCCTCATAGAGTGGAGGGCCGCAGTCTTTGGTGGCTTAGGGAGCATATGAGTCACCTGTTGAGAGAGATGCAGTTGGAGAGCCAAGTGTCTCAGGCAGAGAACAGGGCTCCTGTCCAGACACCCTCAGAAGTGTAGCCTGCTGACTGCTCAGAAGACGGCAGCCTCCTTGACAGGTGGGGGTCAGAGGCCATCTGCCATTCACAGCAGCTGGAATACAAGAGGGACTGTGGTACTTTTTTGAAATTCAGAAAATGTTTTAGTTGTAAACATGTCTGCTGAGGGGTTATTTATAACAGGGAAAAATCAGTGTCAAGCTCAAAGTCTAGCAGTGGAGAACCATATGTGCATGGTTAAGTCAATAATGATAAACCCGTGCAGTTGATTATGATACAGCCGTTACAGCTAACTTCTGAATTCATGATGTCATGTTTGTGTTAAAAAACTTAAGTGATTTATTTGCTGCTTCTTGGAGTGTAACTTAGGAGAAACTTTTTGAAGGAGAACTCTAAATTTGTAACCTTTAAATGTGATCCAGCAATTACACTTCCAAGAATATGTCCTACGGAGATCTTGCACAAGTGCAGTAAGATTTACATACGAGGATATTCACTTCAGCACTGTTTGTACTAGGAATTTTTGGAGAGAATTCAAATATCCATCAACTGAGATTAGAGAAATACCTAAGATACATTTATATGATTATATAATCTGACAATCATGGAAGGGAAATGAGATGACCCACCCTGTCTGTACATATGACATGGAAAGACTGAGTCCAAGATCCTGTATTAAGTGGAGAAAAGTAAGATGCACAACAGAATGTGTGGCCTGTCCCATTGCTCTTAAATCTGTGTGTGTGATAACAATGCATAGGGAAAACTTGTGGAATAAACCATCAGCTGTGGTTTTCAGTGGGATGGAAGTTAGAAAGGACTTCTGCTTTCTAGTTCAGAATTCTGTAGTGCTTGCAGTTTTTTACAATAAGCAGATCATACATTTAGAATCAGGGAAAAAATCAAGATCACTAAATCAAGTACCAAATCTCATTGACCCACAGTTCTGAAAGGCTGTAAATTACATTTACAGTGTGATTCCAGTCTTATAAAAAAATAGGTAGAAAAGAATTAGTCCAGGGCTGGCCCAGTGGCACAAGCAGTTAAGTGCGCGTGCTCTGCTGCGGCAACCCAGGGTTTGCCGGTTCAGATCCTGGGCGCGCACCGACGCACCGCTTGTCAAGCCATGCTGTGGCGGCGTCCCATATAAAGTAGAGGAAGACGGGCATGGATGTTAGCCCAGGGCCAGTCTTCCTCAGCAAAAAAAAAAAAAAAAAAAAAAAAAAAAGAGGATTGGCAGATGTTAGCTCAGGGCTGGTCTTCCTCAAAAAAAAAAAAAAAAGAGTCCAAAGCATTGATGATAGTTGCTCTGGGTAGATGGCATGTGGCAGATTTGAATTCTTTTGGTCTTCTGTATTTTCCAAGTGTTTTTATTCATGAATTTGCTTCTGAATTGGAAGAAAAACATTATGGGCTTTATCTTTGGACTTTGCAGAGATTAGAAAGCCCCAGCGAGGAAGCCCTGGACCTTGAGAGTGTGTGTGTGTGTATGTGTGTGTTTCTTGGAAGGCTCAGCTCCTCTGCCTTGCCTTCTCTGAGCAAGGTCCCAGTGATGGGGCTCAGGCTGGGGGATTGGCGGGGGCCCTTGGAGTGCTGTCCTGTTTGGCCCCGAGTCCTTGGGAAGCTGGGCTCCTGCAGAGGCTAGTCTGAGTGGCAGAGGGATACTATCAGGGGTGAGGAGGTGTGGAATTGCTCTCCCTCGAGTTCCTCCCATTTCAGAGCTGCTGTGGACCTGCTGTGCCCAGACAGCATCCAGCCCACCATCCAGGCCCCTTCCCGTGGCTCAGGCCTCTGGCCTGCCAGGAAGGTTTGGTCTCACCGATTCTGTAGAGGCTGCAGGGCAAAGGTTCAGTTTCTTCAGGAAAAGAGTGAAAGGGGCTTGCTACCCAGTGTGGGTGTCGGGGTGTTCGTTTGGAGGGGACAGGGAAGGATTCCACCTTGGGATTATAAAAGCAATGAAATAAGCTTTTTAAAACAAAAAATGGAGTTATACCATATTACCGTTGAGAAGCCTGCTCTCTTTTCTTCATAATATACCTTGGACATCTTTCCCAGTAAGTACCCAAAAACCACTGGTTCTCAACAGGTTTTGAAAGTTTGGGGGGATGTTTTTGGTCATCACAGTGATGAAGGGGCACTACAGGCATTGATGTAGTTCTCCACAATGAATCATCCTGCGTCCCCAGGACCTTGGAACATCTCAGGGGAACCTGTTCATTATGAACTGAGCCCAGAGCTTAACGCTGTGTTAATGTAAAGGCAACATTTCTTTTGCATAGTTTGATATACTCTGAGTTTAGGAAGGTTAGGTGGTCTGTGATTTTCATTTAGGGCAGTAAAATAGGTGTATTTATGATTTATACAATATTTATAAAAAGGTGCTGTTGGGCCTGATAGGGTGCAGAATTCTCACTGTGGAATCAGTGCAGCGTTTTGGAAGGGCTGTTAGCATTTTAAATGGATATAATCAAAATGTGTTAACCAACCTCCACTGACAGACATTTGGGTTGAATTCAGTTTTGCACAATCACAATGACACCTCTTATATATATGTTTGCACACTTGTGTTTGTGTTTCTATAAGATACATTCCTAGATGTGGAGTGGCTGGGTCAGAATAAAGGAATGCATTTTTTTTTCATTTTAGTGCATTGCCAGATTGCCTTTAGAAGAGGTTTATACCCATTGACTGTATGTGAGCGCATCGGTTTCCCCACACCCTGGCCAGCACTTGCTATTAGTAGTTGTTAATATGTTTGCCAGTCTGAACAAGGTGGGATGGGGGAATGATATCTTATTTTCATTCTCAACTTTTTGATTACAAGGGAAGTAGTGTGTGTTTTCCTATCCATGTTATGTTTCTTCTTTGGTTTCACAGTTAAGACATGTCACTTCTGTCCACGGGAAGGCTGTGCCCAAGTGAGACCAAATGGGGTCTTTGGGAACTTTGTTCCTGAAAGGATAATAGATGGGAATATTTCTCTCGCACTGATGCTGTCTGCGCCCCCAGAGGTTGGGCACCCCTGGGAAATTGTAGGGTGGGAGGAGGCTGGGCTGCACTGTCCCCAAAGCCCTTGGTCTCATACCCCCCTTTGCCTTCTGCAGGAAGCCTGGAAGCATGCAATCGAGAAGGCCAAGCACATGCCTGACCCCTGGGCTGAGTTCCACCTGGAGGACATTGCCACGGAATGTGCCACGCGTCACAGGTCAGCAGCTTGTCTGGGGTTGCTGCGTGGCCCCAGGCCTCAAGGAGTCCTTGGGGGTAGGGATCGAGCTTCTCTTTACAATCAGCGGGGCCTAAGTACCCTTGGAGGTCAAGGGAAAGAGAATAATAATAATATCAGCCAATATTTGAGTACTTATGCATGCACAAGGCACTGTGCATTATCTCATTTAATCCTCAGAGTGGTCCTATAAGGTGTGTATTGGGCAGACGAGGCTGAGCCATGCTGCAGTAACGAATACCCAGGGGCCTAGTGCAATAAAGATGTATTTCCCACTTATATAAAGTTGGGGGAGAGTTGAGCCACTCTTCAGGGCAGCGCGGGGGTCCAGGCTGCTTTCATCTTGCAGTTCCGTCATCTCAACACGTGATCCCCGCAGTTGCTACCAAAGGGAAAGAGAGAGCATGGAGGTAGCAGACCAGCTTTTCGATGCCTTGGCCCTGAGAAGATTCACAAAATGGAGCTGGGAGCGTCTAGATTTCCTCCTGGAAAAGGCAGAGGGAGGGAAGGCTGTTTTCAGGGGGTTATAGGAAGAAGAATGAAAAGCAACAAAAACCACAAAACGCCAGCACTAACATAATAATAAGGATGACAGTGACGATGATGATGATGGCCCTTATTTATAGAATCTTCCACGTGCCAGGCACTGTTTTAAGCACTCTATGTGTATTTACTCATTAAAAAAAGCCTGAATCCTGTTGAGCATTTGGGACCCCTTTGAGAATCTGATGAGGGCCATCTCAGAAAGTTGCACACATCTGTTTAATTTTGCTCACAATTTTAGAGAACTCCTGGATCTGCCCTGGAGCCCGCACCCCTGTCCCGTGACCTCTGTAGACCCCTCCAGCTCTGAATCATTCAGGCCAACCCTCTCAGTTCCCTTGATTGCTCCAGGAGAGAGAGAGGTTTGCCCATGGTCACCCATGTAGTTAATAAGCTAACCTTCTGACTCTCAGTCCAGTGTCTTTGAATTAGTCAGAACTCTAGTTCAAATGCAAGTGACAGAAACCCAATTCACAGTGGCTTAAGCATAGAAGGGAATGTTTGGCTCAGGTATACAGGCTTCAGGCATGGCTGGTTCCAGATGCTCCAGGGATGCTTTTGGCTTTGACCTCAGATATACTCTCTTTTATCAGTGGCACAGATGGCCCCTGGGAGCCCCACATTTCATCTCATCCAATGGAAAAAGATCTTTTCTTTCTCAAATTTTTATAAAACAAAAGTTCTGTATTTGAATCTCATTGGCCTGGCTTTGGTTATATGCCCATGTCAGAACTAGTCATTGTGCCAGAGAGCTCTGCTCCTATTGGCCAGGTCTAGATCACACACAAGAAGACATAAGGTGCTGGGGGATCAGCTCCACCTAAACCACATATTCTGAGAATGGAGGATGGTGGTTCCCCAAAGGAAAATTGGGATGGCGGTGCTGTTGCTAGAAGAAGGGGGAGCAGATGCTAGGCAGGCAGAAACAGTGGAGCCTTCTCCACCTTTCTGCAACATGTTCCTGCAACGAGAAGATGGCTTAGAGCCTGGCATGCACCCCCCTCCCCACTGCTGGAGGCCCCCTTCCTCGCAGGCTCTGGGGTCTGTGCCTTCAGCCGAGGTCAGCATTGTGGGGGCCCCAGAGGGGCAAGGTTTGAACCCTGTTCCTTCCTGCCTATGAGGGCAACATGGTGGCTGGTTGGTAACAAATGGCAACACAGGGAGGTCTCTGGGAAAGCAGGACCCACATGCTGGGTTGGCTCTGTGTCTTGGAGCTCTGCAGATGGACCAGGAACCAGGAACCAGGCCAAACTGTGTTTATTTCCTGACTGAAGTGGCTGACTTCCCCTGCCCTGGCTGCTGGTGGAGGGAGGTTAGGCACTGATGGCTAGAACCCCCAGAGATTTCTAAACTGGAGAATCCCTCCTCTGTTCCTGGTTTTTAAGGAGCTCTGGTGCAAGACAGCCCTTATTAGGGCAGATTTCCTGTACCCAGGTTGGTTAAGAGCAAGGTTCTGGTTGAAACTGACCTGGGTTTGAATCTTGTCTCTCGGACGGGTTACTTCACCTGTCTGAGCCTCAGTTTCCGTATCTGGAAAGTGGGCACAATAATTGCACCAATCTCATAAGGCTGCTGAAGGTTGACTCAAGAGCTCCAATTAAGCACCCAGCATATAGCGAATGCTCTGGGAGCTTTGAGCAACTCTGACCTTTGTGATGTCAGTGGTTGTGAAGGACAAATAAGATCCTGCCGATGTCACATAACTCCTCCCTGCCCTGACTTCTGGGCCCCTCTTGGTTTTCAGTCTCTTGAAGGTGGGGGAGGACTATTTCCTTTATCTTTTTTTTTGTGTGTGTGAGGAAGATAAGCCCTGAGCTAACATCCATGCCAATCCTTCTCTTTTTCTGCTGAAGAAGACTGGCCCTGGGCTAACATCCTCGCCCATCTTCCTCCACTTTACATGGGACGCCGCCACAGCATGGCCTGACAAGCTGCGCCCTCGGGATCCGAACCCGGGCCGCCACCAGGGGAGCTTGCGCGCCTAACCACTACGCCATGGGGCTGGCCCCTATTTCCTTTATCTTGAGCTCTCCATAGTAATAATAATCATTGCTATTATTTGTTGAGCACAGTACTCGCCTCGGGCTGGTTGTGAGCAAGCTTGCAGCTCTGAGGAGCCTTCCTCCCTCTGGGCCTAGGGGAGGTTACCTGCCAGGCCTCTGCTTGTTTTTCTTAACGTTGGTTTCAGACTCTGAGAAACTTGTTCTCACGAGCTGGGAGCGTTCTGGAATCTGTCCCTGCTGCAGGGTGGGCCAGGGCGGCGTCTACTAGAGCTAAGAACACCTTAGCCCTGGGGGGGATGTTTTAGACTTGGGGGATTTACTGAGCTGAGGAGCTTTCTACCAGGCAAACCTGTTTGAGGCCCACCCAGGCCCAGGGGCAGATTGGCTCTGGGAGAGAGGATTCCTGGGAAAGGAGAGCTGGCAATGTTCTGGAGCCCTCTCCATCCCTCTCTGCCTTAGGTGTGCACCTGGCAGCCCCTTTCCTGGATGGACTCAGAGGCAGGACCCTCCCCCACCGCTGCCTGCACCTGGACAGTCTTTAGGAGACGTGCCCAGCTGGCTGGGCTGAGCCTCACACAGGTGCCTGGCAAGGTCAAGGGCGCTGCCGCCTCCCATCCTGGGACATGCTATTTGTTATGTAGACCAGTTATAATAAGGGTATTTATTTATTCAGTTGTCCATCCAACATGCATTTAGTAAGCATCCACACGCACCAAGCCCTGCAGTGAACAAGACAGATATGGGTCTGCCTTTGTGGAGTTACAGTTCAGTGGGGAGCCAGACAGAGAACAAGCCTGCCCACAGCCCAGCAATTAGTGCTGGGGGGACGCAGTGGAGAGGGAACAGCTACCTTTGAGGAAAGGGAAGGAAGCCAGTGTGGTGGGGGCCTGGGAGGGAGGGAGAGTCCACAAACCCAACCCAGGAGGTTGGCTGGGCCTGCAGGTAGAGTGGGCTTGATCCCAAGAGCACTGGGGAACCCAGAAAAGCCTTTCACCTTTAGCTAGTGAGTGAGAGGATCAGGTTATGGAGGCTGCACCCTGGGTTGGGTTCTGGTCTCTGCAGGTACAACGCTGTTACTGGGGAGTGGCTGGAAGACGAAGTTCTGATCAAGATGGCGTCTCAGGTGAGCAGAGCCTCCAGCCCAGTGGAGACAGGGCTGAGTGGGGATTTTTCTCCAGGCGACTTCAGTCCCTGCTCCCTCCCTTCCACACCCACTTTATTTTTTTTTTTAACTTTGGAGGATTCTTTACCTTATTATATATTTATTTTATTTTTTATAACAGCTTCATTGAGATGTAATTCACACACCATGCAACATACCCATTTGAAGTGTACAGTTCAGTGGTTTTAGTATAGTCACAGAGTTGTGCAACCATCACCATGATCGATTCCAGAACATTTTTACCATCTTCAAAAGAAACCCTCTGTGTACCCATTAGCAGTCAGTCCCCAGTTTCCTCCAACCCTAGGCAACCACTAATCTACCTTTTGTCTCTATAGATTTACCTATTCTGGGCATTTCATATATTAATCATATATCTTATATCAAAAGATTCTTCTTGGCACTGTAGGAGAGGAAGAAATTTTCCTCTACCCTTCTAGGTTCTTTTGGCTGATCTAAGAATTAAATTGATATGAGATAGAATAACAGGAGAAAATCAAACAGAGTTTAATAACATGTATACATTGGAGAAACCCAGGAAAACTGAGTAACTCAGCTAAAATGGCTGAAGCCACCACCTTAAAACCATCTTCAGCTAAAGACTACACAGGATGTTGGGGATAGTGGTTTGGGACTTCAAAGGGGAAGAAAGCAATTCACATGGAGATGGAAAAGCAAATGTTTGGTAAACAAATGTTTGCCATGCCTGCAGAGACAATGGGACATGGAGAGGACTTTGATGAAATGGGCCTTGCTAGGTTCCTCCCTGTCTACCACACCTAGTTCATATTATACTATAGTTATCTATGGTGATAGCTCCTTCCTGGAACAAGCCTTCTATCTTAAATTCTTTTAGGCAGTTAGGTGGAAGGTCCAAGTTTCTTCCTGAGGCTTTAATTGTTCTTAAAAATAATCGGGTCAGGGACCAGCCTGGTGGCGAAGTGGTTAAGTTTGCATGCTCTGCTTCCGTGGCCCAGGGTTCACAGGTTCGAATCCTGGGCATAGACCAACGCACCACTCATCAAGCTGTGCTGTGGCAGCATCCCACATACAAAATAGAGGAAGATGGACACAGATGTTAGCTCTGGCCCAATCTTCCTCACCAAAAAAAAAAATCAAGTCAAAGAGACACATTTTGGGGTAGCAAATTCTGCTCCCCTACAGCACTCTTGTCAAAAATCAGTTGACCATAAATGTATATATCAGTTTTTGAAAATGGCAGGTTGTTAAATGAATTCAGTGGCTTACAATCAGCCTTTTGAAAAAAAGCAACAGACTAGAAAATAGAATACTACTTCCTTGCACAGTAAGGATAAGGATTGTTTTGTGAAACTTTTTTTAGTGTATCATGTACTCAGAAAAGTGTACAGCTTGATGAGTTTCACAACGTGAGCACACTGTGTAACCAGCACCCAGATCAAGACACACAACATCCCCAGCACCCTCAGAAGCCCCCTCAGCCCCAGTCCCTACTACTTTACCCCTGAGGGTAAGCACACCCTGAATTCTGTTGCCCTAGGTTAGTTTTGCCTATTTTTATACTCCATATAAATGGAGCCATACAGTGTAGATTCTTTTGAGTATGACTTCTTTTGCTCAACATTTTGTCCATGAGGTTTATACATGTTTTGCTAGAACTAATTTGTTCGTTCTCATTGCTGTATAGTATTTCATCCAACGAATAGACCTAATTAATTTATCCGTTATACTGTTGATAGACATTTAGGTTGTTTCTGCTTTTTTTCTGTTACAGACAGGGCTGCAAAGACATCCTTTGATGTACACTGTCTCCCCCACAACACCTCCATAACATCTGCCCCCAGGAGATCTTCCGCTCAGCTAGGGTTGTGGAATGGGCTGATCTCACTCCCGCAGCCTCCAGGCTGGCAGTTCTATCAGGCTTTGGTGCTGCGGTATAGCAGAGAGGGCCCAGGGATTTTAGGATTGAGATGAGGTCCAGGGTGCCCATTTGGTGGGTGATGTCCAAGGGGAAAATCTCCTGACTCAGGGTTGCTTCTGGGTGGGGCATGGGGACTGATAAACCCTGTGTGTGGTGTCTTTCAGCCCTTCGGCCGTGGAGCGATGAGGGAGTGCTTCAGGACGTAAGTGACTCAGCCTGGCTCTTGGGGCCCTGCCCAGGCTTCCTCAGGCTCCTGAGAGCAGGAGTGTTATGACATTTTTGGCCAAGAAACGGAGACCGTGGCCTCTGCTGCTTGTAGCCTAAGCTCCTCTCCATCTGGTCTCCCACGTTGGGCCTGGCTGTGGGGATGGGCTCAGGGAGAACAGGAAGTATCCCACTAATCTCTCCTCTGGGGTTTGGAGACCAAGGGATGTGGGCTAGGAGACCTTTAACAACGTCCCTTAGGCCCCTTCGCAGGGGGCTGGAGAAGCCCCTCCCACCTCCCAAATTTTGTTCCTGGATCTAGCCAGCCTGGTCAGGCAGGGTCTCCCTGACGTGAGGACCCAGGACTGGGTCCCTGGTGGACCCAAGTGCCCAGGCGGACCCCCTGCTGCCTCTCCCTCAGGAAGAAGCTCTCCAACTTCCTGCACACCCAGCAGTGGAAGGGGGCCTCCAACTACGTGGCAAAGCGCTACATCGAGTCGGTGGACAGGAGCGTGTACTTTGAGGACGTGTGTCTACAGATGGAGGCCAAGCTCTGGGGAGAGGAGTATAATCGGCACAAGCCCCCCAAGCAGGTGTGTGGCACGCCTGCCTGCCACCTTCCCACACCAGGGCAGCCGGGACAGTGTCTGGAGATGAGGGCGATGGTGGTGCTGGTTGCAGGTTCTCTTCTGCACCATCTTAACAGTAGCTAATAACAACCATCATTTACTGAGCATGATGGGCCAAGTACTCTATATGCAGAGTCGTTTATTCCTAAAAACAGCTCTGAGATTGTTTGAAGTTGGAATGTTTTTATCTCATTTACAGATTGGATCTGCTAGTCAGGATTTTTGTGTGCAAATGACAGAAACCCACTCAAATGGGCTTAATCCAAAAAGGGAATTTATTGCTTCATGTGACTGAGAAATAGTGCTGGCCACAGGCACAGCTGGATTTAGGACCAAACCGAGGTTATTGGGAATCTTCCTCCATCTCTAGCCTCGGTGTGTGTTCTTCTATGTTGGCATCACTCTCAGGCAGCTTCTCGACTTGTAGTGGCATGTTGGCCACCAGCAGCTGCAGGCTCGCTTTCTGTCTTCCCAGCAACCTTGTGAACGGACAGCACCCATTTTCCCAGGAGTTCCAATAAAAATCTCAGAACTGGGTTTCATTGGCTCTGAGTAGGTCAGGTGCCTATTGCTGAGCCAATCACAATGACCGGAGGGAGGGAATATGCAGATTGGGTAGGCCTGAGCCATGTGCTCACCCTTAGAGCCAGGAATGTGGGTCCTTCCACCCAGACTACGTGGACTGAGTTTGGTGGCTCCCAAGAAAAAACAGCAGGAGGAAGGAGGAATGGATACCGTATCTGCTCCAGGGGAACCCAGGGCTCAAAGGGGTTAAGTGACCTGCCCAAATAGGCCAGGACCCCTGGAGGCCAGGACTTATAGAGCCAGGGCTCAAATCCAGGCTTTCCAAGCCCCTGCCCAGTGGGCTTCCTCGTTTCAGCCCCCAGGATGTTGAATGACCCCAGGCCAAGCAGAACTTCCTGTTGCCCGCGGGCATTTGAGGAAGCCGTGCTCCATGTCTCTGCCCTGTCTAAATTCACAGCTCAGTTCTCCCATTGTTTGAGCACCTACTAGATGCAAGGCACTGTCTCCTAGTTGCCTCAGGAAAGCCACACTTCAGGCAACCAGCAGAATTTATTGAGTGCTTGCTGTTTGCAGGGCACTTGATTAAGTGTACTTGGGGTGGTCACAAAAAGCCACAGTCCCCACCTTGGGGGCTGTGACCTCCCCCGTCCTTTCTCTTCCTCCCCAAGTTTATTCCTGCCTCAGGACCTTGGCCCTGGCTGTGCTCTGGCCTTCATCTCTCATCTCCCCGATGCTTGCATGGCGAGCTCCTTCTCGTAGTTCTGGTCTCAGCTCATGTGTCACCCGCTCAGGGAGGCTGCCCCACCCAGACTACGTGTGTGAATGAAGTAGCCCTTCCACCGCTGTCATCGTCTATCACGTCGTTCTGTTTGTTCTGGTTTCTCTTGTTGTTGGAGCAGTTGGCTCTCTCAGAAAGAGTCATGTTCACGTACTTAATATTTTAGTTGCCTCTCTCCCCCGAGGGCAGGGAGTTTATCTGTCTTGTTCACTTTGTATCCCAGTGCTTAGGTGCTCAGTAAATAGTAATGTGGTTGAACTGATGAAGGGAGAGAAATGTGGTTGTTTCAGGAGGAAGTGGCTGTTCCCTCCAGGCTGTGTCCCTGACACTTCCCCTCACCCAGTGAACCCTCTGGCTAAGCAGGAGGCCTTGCAGGCTTCCTTGTAGGGATAGAGCGAGCATTTGGGGCTGGAGCTCTCTGAGAAATGGCTGTCCTTCCCCTCAGGCTGGCTCTCAGAACTGAGGCCACAGTTGGGGGGGTTTTCAGCCCTCAGCTCTGGGCCTCTTGTGGCCTCTGCCGCTGTTGTCTGCCTGTCTAGTGACTCGGCCAAGCAGTTCCCCGGGGGGTCATTTCTGGGGGAAACCCAGACCTGGCTCCTTCTGTCATGGGAGGATTGAGAGGGATGGGGTGCCGTGGGTGAATCCTCGTGTAACGGATCACAAGTTAGAGTCACAGGTCTTCCCTACCCCACTTCACATACCATATGCCATACTTAACCATTTTCTTCTGTGTCCAAAATTAAACATATACTTGGTAAGAAACTCAGCAAGGAATGTCTGAGTTCCCCTAATTCCCCATTGCAGGGAGAGAACCACTGTTTACAGTTTGGTATATATTCCTCTAGAATTGTGCCTACTGATAGTAATGACATCAGCAAATGTTGACAGACTCTCATGCATCAACAGATTTCATCCTAAGTCTGAGATCCCTATTCCACAGGTGAGGAAACTGAGGCAGATTGATGAAATAACTTGCCCAGATTCACAATATTAGTGTAAAGCACAGGCTAAGTTGCTTAGCAGACAGACCCACAAATGTGTGTTAACGTGAAATGGTTTCTTTCTTTCTCATCTAACAGTCCTGCTTTGGTGGGGGTCTCAGGGTGGGCTGGTGCCTTGCCTCTTTAAGTCATCCAGAGGGCTGGTTCCTTCTGTCTAGTTGCTCTGCCATCCCCCGGGGGTTGCCTTGGACCATGTGGTCAGTTCTGGCTCACTGGCAGATGTCCACCTTACAGCCTCAGGAAGGCCAGAGAAGGGGAGGGCAGGCTGGAGTTGCATCGTCACTGCTGCTCACTTCCCATTGGCCAGGCTTGGTCACATGGCCACACCTAGCTGCAAGGGAAGCTGAGTGATGTCATCCCTACCGGATAGCTGTGCATCCTGTTAAAACTCAGTGATGCTGGTTGTCTTCGTCCATTCGGGCTGCTGTAACAAAATACTGCAGACTGGGTAACTTACAAACAACAGAAATTTATTTCTCACAGTTTTGGGGGCTAGGAAGTCCAAGATCAAGGCACCACCATGGTTGTGTTCTGGTGAGGCCCTCTTCCTGGTTTGTAGCCAGCACCTTCTTGCTGTGTCCTCACATGGGGGAAGGGGCAAGGGAGCTCTGTGGGGTCTCTTTTATAAGAGCGTTAATTCTATTCATGAGGACTACACCCACATGATCTAATCACCTCCCAAAGGCTCCACCTACTAATACCATCACCTTTGCGGGTTAGGATTTCGATATATGGATTTTAGGGGGACACATTCAGGCCATAGCAGGAGTTTTCATTCTCAAAGGAAAAGGGGAGAATAGATTCCAGGGACAATCAGCAGTTTCTGCTGCACAGCTGGTAAGTGATGGAGTCAGGATCTGAGCCCAGGCAGGCTGGCTCCTCTTACCCTGCCTGCTCCTGCCTCTCATCAGAGGAGGATGCCACCTGGGCCCTGCCTCCCTCCTGACCTCACTCCGCCTCCCACCAGGTGGACATCGTGCAGATGTGTGTTGTGGAGCTGAAGGAGAGGCCGGGCAAGCCCCTCTTCCACCTGGAGCACTATATCGAGGGCAAGTACATCAAGTACAACTCCAACTCAGGCTTCGTCCGTGACGACAACATGCGCCTGACGCCGCAGGTGAGGCCCCTGGAGAGGAGGGTCCCCGTGGATTTGGGGTCTTAAGCATCTCGGAGCATCCCGAAGGAAATTCTGTAACAGGACACCCATCACCCTGTGCCAGCTTTGTCAGCAAGGTCTCTACCCAATTAAACAGGGCTCCTTCCTTTGTCTTTTCCTCTATACAGCTCCTCCTTGCAGACAAAGGCAGAGCTGGGGTGTTGCAACCTCTCAGAGTAGTGCCTGGCCAGTGTCCCTGCAGCCCATAGCCTGGTCTCTTGCAGGTCTCTTGCAGTCACCATTTTCTTTCTGTCCCCCCACAGGCCTTCAGCCACTTCACCTTTGAGCGTTCCGGCCATCAGCTGATCGTTGTGGACATCCAGGGTGTGGGCGACCTCTATACCGACCCACAGATCCACACCGAGAAGGGCACTGACTTTGGAGATGGCAACCTAGGTAGGTGGGGAAAGCCAACACACTTCCCTCCCCTTACCCTAAATTTCCAAGCTCTTCGTACACCCAAGAAAACAGGCCCAGTTGGCATACTGGCCTTTCCAAGATCGTGCAGATGGGAGCCTGGGGCGTCTGACCCCCTGCCAGTTCAGCACGTTTTACACCTGCCCCTGCCATGTTTATGGTACCCAGCACTGCCCCATCCCCTGTCACAAAGCAAAGCAACGTTCCAGACACCCTGCTCTGTCCACAGGTGTCCGGGGGATGGCTCTCTTCTTCCACTCACATGCCTGCAACCGGATTTGCAAGAGCATGGGCCTCACTCCCTTCGACCTCTCGCCAAGAGAGAGGGACGCAGTGAATCAGAACACCAAGCTCCTGGTGGGTGCCCGCTGTGAACGTGCTCGGACCGGGGTGGGGGGGGTTCTTTCTGCTGCCAGGACCAGCACGCCGTGCTTCCCTGTGTGATGATGGCCCAGGCCCCGCGATGCTTAATTGAAAACTATCAGGGCTGGAAGGATCTTGTTCCTATCTGTGCCCCTTGTCCCTCCCAAATCAGTGCACAAAGCCCTGCTGAGTGTTTCCGCTAATAGAGTAATAGAGCTGGCCCACTTTTGACCAGAGTGAAGGGACTAGATGTGTAGAGATAGTGAGAGAGGTGTGTGGTATGTGTGTTTGTATGTGTTTGTGTGGTGTGTCGACTCATGGCTGGACTAGACTTGGACCTGGCTCCTTGGGCACCTTGCTGCGTCCATGATGTGCCCACCGCACCTCTACTCCCGGGACCAAATACAAGAGAATATTGGCAAAGACGAGCTTGGGATTCTGGTATATAATGGCATATATTCCCCAGCTCAGGGCTGCAAAGTGTGGTCAGCTGGGAATGCTGGCTGGCAGGCCCTTTGAGCTCCTGTTCCAGATGCCCCTTCTTAGAGGCCTTCAGGTTAATCCCCCACTGATTATTTTCAGATTTTCTGCCAGTCCCCAAACAGGTACATGTGGGAGCTGTGGCTGAAAGGGCCTCAGGTTTCAGGGGAACAACAGGCAGCAGGAAGAGCCCCTCATTCCCAGAGGGTGCCTGTGTGACATGAATGTCCCTGTTAATTCTCTAGCAATCAGCCAAGACCATCTTGAGGGGGACAGAGGAAAAGTGTGGGAGCCCCCGAGTAAGGACCCTCTCTGGGAGCCGGCCCCCTCTGCTCCTTCGCCTTTCAGAGAACTCTGGAGATGAGAACATGAGCGACGTGACCTTCGACTCTCTCCCTTCCTCCCCATCTTCGGCCACACCACACAGCCAGAAACTGGACCACCTCCGTGAGTGATGGTTTGGTCCCTCGTCATTGTGGTTGGAGGGGACAGGTGCCAGGTAGGGCAGAGCCAAACTGGCTTTCACTTATGTTAGAAAATCAGACTTACTAACCAAAAAGATTCACGGCCCAGGTGGTTTTACAGGTGAGTTCTTTTAATAAACTTTCAAGACGCAGGTCATACAAATGCTATGAAAACAACCCCTATTATAGAAAACAAGGTAACATTTTGCAGTGTGTTTTATGAAAGTAGCAAAACTTTCATACCAAAATTTGACAAAACGCCAGAAAAGAAAACTATATCCCAACCTCACTTGTAAATATATTATACAATGCAAAAAATAAATAAATATACAATGAAAAAATTCTAGATAAGGTATCAACAAATAAAGACTAGTAAAGTCTTAAAAGAATCACCTGTCATAGTCAAATAGGTTTTTGCAGGAATCTGAGAGTGGTTCCCTCAGATTAGGAAATCAATTAACATCATAATAGGTCAAAGGAGAAAAAGTAAATCATTATTTTTGAAGTTGAAGTGACGGAGTTTGCTGATGACGTGGGGTCTGCAGGAAAGAGGGGAGACAGGGCTGACTTGAAGGTTTTGGCTGGAAGAACTGGAAGGACGATGTGGCCATTTATTCAGCTGGAGGAGGCTGCGGGGGAGCAGGAGAGGAGGACTTTAGTGCCAAATGTTAAAGAAGCCTTTTTAGACATCTCCGCTGGAAGGCGTTGGGAATGATCTGAAGCAGGAGTCAACAAACTTTTTCTTTTTTTTTTTTTAATTTATTTTATTTTTTTCCCCCAAAGCCCCAGTAGATAATTGTATGTCATAGCTGCACATCCTTCTAGTTGCTGTATGTGGGACGCGGCCTCAGCATGGCCGGACAAGCTGTGCTCCGGTGCGTGCCCGGGATCCGAACCCTGGCCGCCAGCAGCGGAGCGCGCGCACTTAACTGCTAAGCCACGGGGCCGGCCCAACAAACTTTTTCTTAAAAGGCCAGAGAATAAATGTTTTAGGCTTTGTGGCCATACAGTTTCTGCATTTGCAGCATGAACCCAGCCACAGACAAGACCTAAATGAATAGGTGTGGCTGTGTTCCAATAAAACTCTATTTATGGACGTTGGATTTTAAATTTCATATAATTTTCACATACCACAAAATATTCTTCTTTTGATTTTTTTTCAACCATTTCAAAATGTAAACACTATATAAAAACAGGAGACAAGCCAGATTTGGCTCACAGGAGCTCGAGGCGGGAGAGAGAGACTGGGAACCACCAGGAGGTGGTTGGTTTTTAAGCCGTCTGGGCTTCCCCTGCTTGTAGCTACTCCTTGGGCTCCAAATGTACAAATGGCTTTTCTTCCTTCATAAGTGCACCTCATTAAGGGCCGACTGTGGGCCAGGCGCATGAGCTTATAAACATGTTACACAAGTATGTTTGCATTGTGACAACTCTGAGGAGGCACAGAGGTTAAGCTACTTGCTTGGGGCCCCACAGCTGGCAAGTGGCAGACTCGGAGAAAGTTCTCAAGGAAGAGCTGTAGCCCTCCAGGTGCTGATGATATTCTTCTTCCATTTTTGCACCTTTCTTCACAAATTTAGAATAAGAAAAGGCTTGGTGGTGGTGCAGTCAGCTCTGGGCTGTAGATTGGTCTTGTGAACTATTCCAGTGGTGGAGCCAGCTCATTATCTCTCTTGTCTCCCTGCCCAGACTGGCCTATGTTCAACGACCTCGATAACATGGCACCCCGAGACCACGACCATCTGGACAACCACCGGGTGAGTGGAGAGGGACGGAGAGAACAGGGCTGGGAGGAGGAAGAACTGAGGGTGAATACTCAGATGCAGAGGTGGGCAGCCAAAGGCTGCTTTGGGCACTGCCAGGAGGGCACAGGGGAATGCAGGTGAATCTCAGCCTTCTGCCCAAGGTGCCAGTTTCCTCTGGGAAGTGCTGGGTCCATTCCAGTTCCTGGAGATGGTTAGAGCAGAGAGCATCCACATAAGCAGCAGTGCGACCTTCTGGTAACTGCCGGGCTCAGCGTTGGGGGTGTTTGGCCACACATGTATGGACAGCTGTCTTGGGGGGAGGGAGCTATGCTGGGTCTCAGACGTGTGACTTCTAGCACAGTCAGCTGTGATGCCCGAGGGTTGGATAAACAGGACAGGTTTCCTGCAGCCTCTGGGTGACTTGGTGGTAAGAAACTGAAGATGTTGTATCTGCATTCAGGCAAACATTATTGTGTCAAGTTAAAACTTCAGAGGAATTTTTTAAACAGACTTTGCAGAAATACCACACTTGCACCGACCACAAGCTCACTTTAAGCTGCAGCCTCAGATTTCTCCAAAGGTTCAAGTTCACTCTTGACTGCTTCTCAGAATTCTTGAGTGGAAGAAAAAAATAAGAATAGCTGACAGGTATGGAATCGTCACTATGTGCAGACGCTTTTGTAAGAGCTTGACAGAGGGGCAGGCGCTGTGGTGTAGTGATTAAGTTCAGTGCGTTCCACTTTGGCAGCCCGGGTGCATGGATTCGGATCCTAACTTGTCAGCCGTGCTGTGGCAGTGACCCACATATAAAGTAGAGGAAGATTGACACAGATGTTAGCTCAGGGCTAACCTTCCTCAGCAAAAAAAAAAAAAAGAAGAGCTTGGTAGATACTCTCATTTAATCCTCACAACAACCTATGAGATAGATATTATTTTTTGTTCCTTTTAGAATAGGTTTTAATCTAGAATTGGAATGAGTTTTAGAATTTCAGAATAGGTCACACATTCTCATGGTTCCAAAGGTACAGGTACAAAAGATTAGCATGGTGAAAAGTCCCCTCCCACCCGTCCCTCAGGCACCTGCTTCTTATCCTAGCATCAGCAACTGCTTGGGCAGGACTCGCATTATCCCTATTTAGAGGTGAGGAAACTGATACCAGAAAGGGAAGCCAATTGCTCACCGTCAGTCAGTGATGGAGCCAGGGTTCAAACCCAGGCCATCCGGCCTCAAACCCACCCTCTGCACTGCTGTCCTTTGCGGCCTTCTCTTCCACACCTTGGGGTGTGTATTCCCCGTTTCTCAGATGAGGAAACTGAGGTTTGGAGAGGTTAATGGCTTTGTCCGAGGTCTCAGAGTTGGGAAGTTGCAGAGCTCTCTGCAAGGCTGAGCGAGGCTGTCTGTCACTCGGCTTGGGAGTGATTCCGAAGAGGGCGACCAGGGGCCCAAAGTTGTGTGGTGGGCGAGGTGCAAGGAGCAGGCTGCCTGGAGCTTCTGGGTATGGCCTGCAGTCTGTTTTCTAAAGCAGCCGTTCACTCAGCACACTGAATGCTTCAGTTTTGTTGTCTGTAAATTTTACCTCAATTTAAAAAATTAAAATATTAAAAAAACGGAACAGCCTTTCAGCCCACACAGAGGAAAATGTTGGGAGGGAAGCTCGTAGGGCTTCTCGTGGGCCTTTTCAGGATTCACAGCTCCTCAGGTGGAAGAATCCCTAGTCAGACCAGAGGCCAAGGATTCACTGTGTGTGTTTGCGTGGCTCCCATCTATCTAGGAGAGTGATCCAGGTTCACATTTATGCTAGTGATACAAAGCTTCTTTTAAAAATATATTTATTTAAGTAAAATAAAATGGCTTATCCAAAGAAAAGTAATAAATGAGAAGTATGAATTCATGAAAGGAGTTTTTTCTGGAGGGATAAGAGAATGGGATAGAAAGGGACCTGCAAGAGGTCTAAATTTTAGCGGTAATGTTTATTTATTTATTTATTTATTTATTTTTGTGAGGAAGATCAGCCCTGAGCAACATCCATGCTAATCCTCCTCTTTTTGCTGAGGAAGACCGGCCCTGAGCTAACATCTGTTGCCAGTCCTGCTCCTTTTTCTCCCCAAAGCCCCAGTAGATAGTTGTATGTCATAGTTGCACATCCTTCTATTTGCTGTATGTGGGACGCGGCCTCAGCATGGCCAGAGAAGCGGTGCGTTGGTGCGCGCCCAGGATCCGAACCCGGGCCGCCAGTAGCGGAGCGCGCGCACTTAAGCCACGAGGCCGGCCCCAGCAGTAATGTTTTAATTCCTTTTAAAAATAAAAGATCTAAAGTACCGAAGGTCCGATGTTAAGAGTTGATAAAGCTGGGTGATAGGTGCACAGGAGTTCATTTTAGTATTCTCTGTACTTATTCGTGTGTTTGAAATACCTCTTAGTGAATAAAGAAGGAAAAAAATGAAAGTATTAGCTGGATAGTGATGCAGGTAATGTGCAGATATGGCCAGAACCCAGCATTAGTAGACAAATGACTGAGGTTGTTGAGATTCTGATTTGTACCAGATTCCCTTTCAGAACAGAACTTAGATCTAGAAGAATAAAAAATAAGCCCAGGTGACCTGTGCAGTTTTGGCCGAGGGCTTAGTTGTAGTAAATATTGTGCCTAGTGCTGTATTTTTGTCCATAGCCCTTAAACCAGCCTTTGTTTTTCCACCTGTGAAATGGGTCAGCCACTATTGATAACAGCACTTACTACAATCCACACTCATTTCATCCTCACTTTGATGTAGGTGTTCTGGTGAATCGAAGCTCAGAGAGGGTGAGCAACTGCCCAAGGTCACAGCTGATGAGTTACAAATCTCAAATTTGAGGCTAGGCAGTCTGGCTCCAGAGCCCAAGCTCTTCGCCACTACTTTCTCCTGCTCCCTTGTCACCCAACCAGCAAGGGCAGGATGAAGAGAATGTTAAGTGAGGTGATGGGACAAAGGAGAGAAAGCAAATGGCTGGGATGTCCAGATGTCACTACCACCAAGTACTCAGAGGACCACTGAGACCCTAGGGCCATCTTCTTTCTGCAGGACTCTGAGAACAGTGGGGACAGCGGATACCCCAGTGAGAAGCGGGGTGAGCTGGATGACCCAGAGCCCCGGGAACACGTAAGGAACTCCCAGGAAATGAGCCCAGAGGCCCCTCATTGGCAGGGAGGATAGAGAGGTGGGGGGAATGTGAGTGGGTCGTGAGAACATAACAAGTAAATTAATAAATAAGATCATTTCAGATAAAGATAAATGCGGGGCAGAAGATAAAAACAGGGAAATGTGGACCAGTAAGTTTAGTAAGGGAACAAGTATGGGAGATTAGACCCAAGGTTGAAAATGGCAGACAACTCTAATGGTAACGCTGGGACCTCTGGTTGCTAAGCAGAGAGGATGCTGGGTAATAGGCCAGAATGGTGCTGGTGTAGATGGGAGGGCTCAGCTCAAAGGCACAGGATTCTGGCAATCCCTGGGGAGAATCCCAGAGGACAGTTTCCTGAGGCATCCTCCCAGCAGCATCCTGGTGAGGGTGGCCTCGGGCAGCGTCAGTCATTTAGAGGTTTTCCCAGGAGCCAAAATTGAGCCTGAGCATCAAGGCCAATCTTGCTGGGAGCCCTCTGCTCTCAGCTTTGTTACTGTGAATAGACGTGTGATGGAAACTTTGGCTGGGGGAAAGACTTGGCCCAGTTTTTCTGGTGCCTGTCTGCCAGGATCCTGTGCCTTTGAGTCAGTTCCATTTATGCACACAGACAGAGCAAGAGGAAGGCTGTGGCCGCCCCAGCACATCGGTCCTGCCTGCTACCCAGCATTCTCACTGCTTTGGAGACAAGGGTTCCAGCTTCCCCTGCGGGGGCCGGGCCGGTTCCCTGAGAGGAGGGTCCCTGGGAGGACCGGGCCTGCCCCCTAGGAAGAGGGTCTCCTGGGAGGGCTGGAGCAGTTCCCAGGAGGAGGTTCTTGGGAAGAAGGGCTGCTCTTTGCTCACTCTACTCTCTGCCTCCCTCAGGGCCACTCAAATGGCAACCGGAGGTATGAGTCGGACGAAGACAGCCTGGGCAGCTCCGGACGGGTAATGCGCCCCAGGGAATCCGTGTCGTGGCTTCGTGCTTATCTTTTCCGGGCTCTGTTTCTGTTTCTCCCACCTCGTGTCTCTGCTGCCTGCCCAGGTGCCTCACACATCTCCTAGAGAAAGATGGTGCCAAGGAGCCAATCCCTTTGGCAAACACTTTTTGAGCTCCTGGGTGGGGTGCTGGGGGGTCTGTGGGGAGGATTAGAGAAGACGAGAATAGTTCCTTCCTGGAGGGGAAATTTCAATCGCCACAGCTCACATGTTAAAGTAGCGCCCATGTAAGTGCCTTGTAGTATTAGTTAATTTGCTTCTCGCAACCGCCCAATGAAACAGGCTAACACTATTCATCCCTGTTTTACATATGAGAAAAGGGGGTTCTTCAGCAGCATTCCCTGGGCTAATATGTCCAACAAGCATCTCAGGTGGTCATTGTCATCAGGCAGGTGTGGGAAAGACCAGCCCTCAGAACGCTCTTCTCTAGCTGACTCTGAAACGTACTTCAAACCTCTCACCTTGAGCCTTTGCTGAGGCAAGTCTCCCACCTGCCAGGTCCTTCCTCCCCCTCTAGTCATACCTTCTCAAAGCCTGCCTGCTCTCCCAGACTGGGCCCCACTGGCACCTCCTCCAGGACCCTTCCCTGATCACCACAGCAGGCTTGACTCTCGCTCCTTCCAGAACACAGATTATTTACCATGCAATATGTATTTACCATGCAGCATTTCTCAGTTGGGTCAAGGTCTCAGCCTGCATGGAGCAGGGTTGTTCAACCACAGCACCATTGACATACTGGGCTGGGTCATTCTTTGTTAGGGGGCGCTGCCCTGTGCATTGTAGGATGTTTAGCATACATATACATACACACACACACACACACACACACACACACGTACACAGCTGCCTGGCTCTGTCCTGTAGGAACCTTTGGACCAGGAAGTCTTTAGCTTGGAGACATAATGTGTTTTTTAAACCCGTTCCCTGTTGATGTTGTCCACAGCACTGTGATGATGCACAGAGGAAAGCAAAGTGGATTTGCTGTGAGGTCTGTAGTCAGACTCTTCTGGTGCCTTGTCTGGGGAGCTGGCAAAGGGAGCAGCTTAGGGTCCAACCTCCCCAACCAAACCCTGATTGATAAGTGAGGGGAAGTGCTTCTTTGGGCTGCTACAGTCCGTTCTGCTAGCCTGTGTGTCCTGTTGCTATAATGTTCCCTCAGCGCCTACAGGCTGGCGGAATTTCAGTGATTAGAAATGGAGCTGTGTTTGTCCAAGGCAACTTGACACCATAAGGGTTCACTCCCCCCACCCCCCAACTCGCCAGCCGAGCTGGTGCAGTAGGGGCAGCTGACGGCTGGTGACAGTGCGTGCATCCCCAGCAGCTCGCTTCTCTGGCCTGTAAACTTTGCCATGCCCGGTCCTTTCCCTCAGGTCTGTGTGGAGAAGTGGAATCTTGTCAACTCCTCCCGCCTCCACCTGCCGAGGCCTTCAGCTGTGGCCCTGGAAGTGCAAAGACTCAATGCTCTGGACCTTGACAAGAAAATTGGGAAGTCCATTTTGGGGAAGGTATCGGTGATGCCCGTTTCAGAGCCCTGTCTGCACTAACCCGGAGCCCCCAGCTCATGCCTCTCCTCTGCTAATCTCTTCCTCCCCAGGCTGGCTGGGTGGCTCTTGGGTGCGGCTTCAGCCTCCCAGACAGCCAGACCAACACTGAAGTCTGTGTGGCAGGTCCATCTGGCCATGGTGCGCTACCACGAGGGTGGGCGCTTCTGTGAGAAGGATGAGGAGTGGGACCGTGAGTCGGCCGTCTTCCATCTGGAACATGCAGCCGACCTGGGCGAGCTGGAGGCCATCGTGGGCCTGGGACTCATATACTCGCAGCTGCCCCACCACATCCTGGCTGACGTCTCTTTGAAGGTGAGGGTGGACAGGTTCCCAGCCAGAGGGGGGCTTAGTCAGTCCATCATCGTCCCCATCCTGTGGTTTATGCATGCCACAAAAATTTCCTGAGCATCACTTAGGGGCCAGGCACTTGCAAGTTAATTGAAACTGGTAGAATTGGTCTCTGCCCTTGGGGAATGTGTGGAAAGTGACAGTTACATTTCCAGGCAATTATGACATGGTTTGATAGAAGCATGGTGGGAACAGATGAAGAAGGGGGCTAACTGGGGTTTCTGTGGGTCAGCGCAGGCTTCCTGATTGTCAGTTCCAGCTGTATCTCTAGTGGCTAGAACAGAGCCTGGCACACAGTGGATACTCAATATTCATTTGTGAAACAACTGAATAAAGTGATATCTAAGTTAGATCTAAAGGCCGAATGGGAGTCAGCCAGGCAGAGTGTGGGAGGGGAGCAGTTCAGGCAGAGGGAACATCGAGTGCCCAGGCCCAGGGGTGACAGACGAGATGATGGATCAGAGGACAGGAGGCAGATCATAGCTAGAGCATGGGGTGTGAGGAGGTGGTGCAGGAGGTGAGGCTGAGAGTGGGCCAGGACCGGGTCTGAAGCAGCAGGATGTGGATGTGATGGGAAATCCATGAGGGAGTCTGTTCCTTTCCCTGGTCTGTGGGCACAGTGAGGAAAGGATTGGGTGAACAGGACTTGACAAGGCCTATGGGGTGTGACCTTTTTCTGGGAGAGGTTGAAAGGCGCTTGGTGTGCGTGTGGTCCCAGCGTATCTGTCCTCATCCTCCCTAGCACGTGGACGAGGGTGTGGCTGGATGAGTGGCTGGGTGAGGTGGGGCTCAGCATGGGTACAGGGCACCAGCCCTCCTCGGTGGGCCTGGCCATGGCCCAGTGAGTGAGGGGTCTCAGGCTGAAAGAGGGTGGGAAGGCAGGCAGTCCAAAGTACTTTATTTATTTCACTTTTTTAATACGTAATACATTCATGTGACAAAAATATTTTTTTAATATTAAAAGATTTACAGTGAAAAATCTCCCTCCCACCTTTTCCTCCATCCTTTCATTCTCCCCATAACAGATAACCATTTTTATTAGTTTCTTATACAGTTCCAGAGTATATTAGTTTCCTTGGGCTGCCATAACAAATGACCACAAACTGGGGGGCTTAAAACCACAGAAATTTATTCTCTCACAGTCTGGAGGCTGGAAGTCTAAAATCAAGGTATCAGCTTTCTCTGAAGACTCTAGGGAAGGGTCCTTCCTGTCTCTTCTAGCTTCTAGTGGTTGCTGGCGGTCTTTGGCATTCCTTGGCTTATAGATGCATCACTCCAATCTCTGTCTCTGTCTTCACATGGCCTTCTCCTCTCTATGTCTCTGTCTCTGTGTCTCTTCTTCTATTATAAAGATACCAGTCATACTGGAGTAGTCACCCCACCCTACTCCACTATGACCTCATCTTAACTGATTACATCTGTAAAGACTCTTATTTCCAAATCGGGTCACATTTTGAAGTTCTGGGTAGACATGAAGTTTGGGGGGACACTGTTCAACCCAGTACACAGAGTTTCCATGTGCCGATACAGAGTATAGATTCTTATTTTCACCCTATTTTTTCCTCCAAAGTTAGTGTACTACACACACTCACCTGCACCTTGCTTTTCTCACTTGACAGCGTCCTGTGGACATTTCTCCTCAGTGGTATAGGGAAAGCTTCCTCATTCTTTTTGACAGTTGCATAATCTTCCATTGTATGGGTGCAACATACTTTATTTAGCCTGTGCCCTGTTGATGGACACTTGGGTTGGTTCCATTCTTTCGATATCACAAATATTGCTGCAGTGGCTAGCCTTGTACACATTAAGTTGCATCTTGTGAAACTGCCATTTTTGTAGGTCATAAATGGTAGAAAATTGACAGTTTTATGTGATTCAGTCAAATACATCATTTGGCATGTGGGCAAGAGATAACCCATCGCCATTTTTATTTCCCATTTTAGATGGTGAGGAGCAGGCTTCGTTGGGGGAGGGATTTTGACAGGCTGGTGACTTGTCGCTCTCTCACTCCCATCTCCATGCTCCTTGAGGGCAGGACTGAGTGTGGTATCTCATTCGGCCAGTGGTGTGCTGGTAAATGTTTAACAGTTGGCTCTCAGGGGCGGGGAAGAAAAGTATGCACATATATGTATGTAAGTTTATTATAAATTTTACTGATATAAAGAATGTGGAGCATATAATTTACAAACAGTAATAAAAATACTCTTTATTGTAAATTCTGTATGGTCAGTTGATCCTCACAGAATGCTTTTGCTAATTTTTGTGGACCTCGTATCTGTAGCCCATCTATGGCTGCAATTGATGGAGGGGTGAAATTCTGACATCAATATTGGTTGATACTTTCGCTTACTTTAGTGAGTAAGATGAAGTGAAATAAGGAAGACATCTATCAGAGCTGGAACTTCACTTATTTGCCGCTGATGTGAGCAACTTCTTTGCTGAATCAGATAATAGTTTTAAATACCGAAGGTTTCTTCAATTTCCTGTGCTAGTCACAATGTAATGGCTACAGACATGATGCACTTTTAAAATAATCTGCATTATTAATATTTTCTCCATCTCTTTTTTCAATCAAGACAGAAAACACAGTAGATTAAACTGTGATTTGTAGCATTTTCCACTTTCTGTGGTGTAAATGCTCCTACCGTGGCCAATTTCAAGGTACTACCATGACATCACTGAACATGGAGTTGGGAAGAAATGCTCAGTAACACACCGTTATATAGTATTTCCACCATACAGATTCAGTGGACCAGTGGTTCTCAACCAGTCATTTTGCCCTCTCTTTCTTAGCAATGTCTGGAGACATTTCTGGTTGTCACAACTCTGGGAATGCAACTGGCATCGAATGGGTAGAGGCCAGGGATGCTGCCAAACATCCTACAATACACGGGACACCCTCATAACACAGAATTATCTGGTCCAAATGTCAGTAGAGTCCAGGTGAGAAGCCCTGCAATAGGTACAAATAACCTGAAGAGTGTAGATAATGGTAAAACATAGTGAAATAATTAGAAGTGATGAGCTTTGAGTATTTGTTACCTTTCATTTAATTGTAAGTTTACGTAATTTAATTTTTAATAATGGCTGCGTTTTACAATCAGCTTGCAACATTCCTGAAAATTTCATAGTCGTTTCTCACGAGCCTGTAGAGCCAGCTCTAGCGAACCACTGCATTGGCCCTATTCCCCCAGCATCTGCCACAGAGCCTGGCACAGAGAGGACATGCAGAAGGGTTTGAGGCCTGAATAAAGGAATGCCAGGGCCCCGGATGAGTGGTGGGGGGCCAAGACTGGGGGAGATCCCCTTTCTCTGAGACTCCCTGGTAATGCTCCTTGTGATCTAAGGCTGTTTACACCAGCTGTACCCTGGCATCTTTGTAAAGGGATTTGGGAGCAATTTTAGTCTCCTTGTCTGCAGGCATCCCAAAGGCCTTTCTCTCGAGGACAGATCGGGCAGCTTCCCCTAACAGGAGTGTGGTTGGATAGAGCAGTGTGGTTAGGACAGGGCAGGAAGGAAGTGAGGTGTGTTCAAGCCAGGCTTATGGCTTAGCAAGGAAAATGATGGCCACGTGCCCAGAGAGGTCACTGTGTGCTCTAGAAAGCCTGTCGCCCACTTTCGCCAATGCCCCCATTCTTTGGGCCTTTTTCTGTTGTCCAGCTAAGACACACATTCATCCAGCACACGTTTTGAGCATCTCTTACACTCTGGGCACTGTCCTAGGTTCTTATTCATGACAGCAAACTTTTTACGTGAGGAAGGATGTAGTACAGATAATAATTAACAAATGAAAATATTTCCAACAGAGTTAAAAATAACTAACCTTTATTGAGCACTTCCTGTGCCAACAATTGTTCTAAAGTGCTGGGGGGAAAATATGACAGGGAATGTGATCAAGAATACCTGGCTAGGCCTCTTGTCTTAGACACAGTCTCCAGCTGCAAGGCAGGCTGGGAAATGTAGTCTGTAGCTGGTCAGCCATGTGCCAGCAAAAATGTGGTGGAAGAGAATGGATATGGGGGACAACTGGTAGTCCCTGCCACACTTCTTGAAGCCTGAAGGTTGAGAAGGGCCTCATAGGCTGTTATGAAGGCTTTGGATTTGTCTCTGAGAGAGATAGGAAGCCATGGAGCAGATTTGATAGACTAATGTGACCTGACTTAGGTTTTAAAAGCATCTCTTTGGCTGCTACTTGGGATGGATCTTGAGGGAGCAGAGTGGAAGGAGATGGGAATGTACACCAGTGGTAGGAATGTACAGTGGTGCAGCCACTGTGAAAAATAGTCGGGCAGCTCCTCAAAAGGCTAAACATAGAGTTTCGTGTGACCCAGCAATTCTACTCCTAGGTATATACCCAAGAGAATAAAAACATACATCCACACAAAAACTTGTACACAAATGTTCATAGCAGCAGCATTCATAATAACCAAAAAGTGGAAACAAACCCAGATGTCCAATAACTGATGAATGGACGAATCAAATGTGGTATATCTGTGCAGTGAAATGTTATTTGGCCATAAACATAGTGAAGTACTGGTACATGCTAAGACATGAGTGAAATCTTGAAAACTTTCTGCTAAGTGTAAGAAGCCAGTAACAAGAGGCCACATATTGTATGATTGCATTTATATAAAATGTCCACAATAGGGAAATCTCTAGAGACAGAAAGTAAATTAGTGGGGCCAGCCCGGTGCCGCAAGTGGTTAAGTGCATGCGTTCCGCTGCGGCGGCCCGGGGTTCGCCGGTTCGGATCCCAGGCGCGCACCGACACGCCGCTTGGCAGGCCATGCTGTGGCGGTGTCCCATATAAAGTGGAGGAAGATGGGCACGGAGGTTAGCCCAGGGCCACTCTTCCTCAGCAAAAAAAGAGGATTGGCAGATGTTAGCATAGGGCTGATCTTCCTCACAAAAAAAAAAAAGTAGATTAGTGGTTGCCTAGGGCTGGGTGGGATAGGATAATTGGGAGGTGACAGTTAAGGAGTATGGTGTTTGGTTTCTTTTTGGCTTGATGAAAATAGGAAATTGATTATGGTGATGGTTACACCTTCTGTGAACATACTAAAAACCATTAAATTGTATACTTTAAATGGGTTAATTATATGGTATGTGAATCATATCTCAATAAAGCTGTTAAAAATTTTAAAAAGAATGGAAGCAAGGAGCCCTGTTGGAGGCAAGAGATGACATGGCTCTCTGGAGGAGTCAGAGCAGAGAGAGGAGTGTGAGCAGGAGTGAGCTGAGCTTCCATTTCTCCCTGCCTGAAGGAAACCCTCAAGGGGCTCACTGCAACAGGGTACGAGGCCTTTTCTTTTTCACGATGAGCATTTCTGCAGCAGCCCCGGCCCACAGCTCTCAAAACAATTCAAGAAATGAGAAGAAGATTGATTAGTGAGAGCCTGGCAGCCCCTCCAGTGCAAGCCTCATTTCCTTTTCTCTCCCCCTCTTTGGTTTGTATTGACAGGAGACGGAAGAGAATAAAACCAAAGGATTCGATTACTTACTGAAGGCAGCTGAAGCTGGTGACAGACAGTCCATGATCCTGGTGGCACGGGCTTTTGACACTGGCCAGAACCTTAGCCCAGACAGGTACTGTGGCTGTCGCCAGGTGGAGCTGGTGGGAACCTATGCTGCCGGTGGGAGGTTCCCCTCCTGTGTCAGTACAGAGCTGAGTTCTGGGCTCAGCTCCCCCGGCACCAGTCCACTCTCCGGGGCCAGTTATTTTACCTCCTTGGCCTTAGTTTCTTCCTTGTGTAAAATGGGAATAATTATAGAACCTGCATCCTAGAGTTGTTGTTTGTGGGTTAAATGAGATGATGCCTGTAATTCCCACTGTGCCTGGCACATAGAGAGTGAGATAAATGGCGGGCATCTTAACTGTTATATGTAAAGATTTGCCTGAGACAGAGTCTGAAAGGATATGCAGCATCAAGTCCAGAGTGGTCATCCCTAGATGGTAGGATGATGGGTGATTTTAATTTACTCTTCCTACTTTTATTTTGATTTTTATTATTTTTCACTTCTGAGAGGGAGGGGCGGGAAGAGAGCAAGCTCCAGGGGTGAGCTCAGCCCTAGTGTGAGTTTTCCAGAGTGGCTTTGAGGCTCCTGAAGGTTGTGACTCTGTAGGTGCCAACACGTTTTCAGTTATTCCTCGGGCTGAGATGCCAGAACTGGTTTCTGCAGTGGGAGGAGAGGAGAGTGGCAGCTTCAGTTTGGCTTGACCAGTAGGAGGTCCCAGAAGTCCAGAAACAGAGGACAGTTGGGGGATTTGAACTCATAATGGCACCCATCGCTCACCCTCTGTGGCCCTCATTGGGTCCTGGCCACCCTCTGTTGTCCTTAAGAGCCTGTGGCTTTCTGGAAGGGAGTAGGGTGGGCACATTCATTGTCTAAACAGCAGCCTGGCAGTTCCTCCCTCTTTGGGTCAAGGTCTCATCTCCCTTTCACTGGCTTTAGAAGAAGGAAAGTCAGGACCGTGGCTCCGTCGTATCAAACTCTCAGGGTCTAAAATGTCTGGATACATGACATCCTGCCTATATTATGTATCATGCAGCCCCAAATTTTATCAGATACATACTGTGTAACAGTAACGTTCCCTTGGACCACACTTTCATATCTGTGATTTTATTTCACTGGGTCTCCTGCATGTCTATAGTCCCAGGCCTTAGTGCAGGACCCGGCTCAGTAGTTGTTTGAGTGAATGAACCAACACATGTCTTGGATACAGACAGGGCAGGTAGTTTGGGACCCCTTTTATGGATGAGTCAACTGTAGTTCTCAGAAGTGAAGGGACTTCCCCATGGTCAAATAGCTAGTAAGTGGCAGAGCCAAAAGTTAGGTCTTCTCAACTTGCCTCCAGTGGACTGTCTACTGGTCTGCTTCCTAGTGGACTCAGAAGTATACTGGCATGGAGGGGAGGTAGACAAAAGACACGACATAATTGTGTCAGATCAAATGCCAATGTGTATGGTGCCCATTGAGTCAGTGGAGAAGCACAGCATGAGCTAGGGGGAGCTGGGCAGTGAATATTTGTATCTAAAGTACTTAAAAAAAAAAATCTTTCCTCTGTGGTTTTTCTTCATGTCCTTTGTCTACTTTTTCTTTTTATTTGAAATGATAGTTTTTGTTGTTGTTGATTTGTAAGAATTTTTTATGTATAACGCTATTAACTCTTTGGCCTATGAGTTTGCTTTTAAAAAAAATTTTTTCAGAGGTGGCTACCATAGAAGTGAGGGGAGGGGGCAGGAGATGGCATATGTGCCACACAATGACTATTGTTTATTGGGTTTGGGGACACACTGGTTTTTAATATTTACGTAGTTAAATCTATGAAAATTTTTATTATAGCTTCTGCTATAGTCGTTTTCTTATTCTTCTTCCTCGTTCCAAGCAACTCCAGCCTCTTCCATTCAGGGAACATTAATTAAGGGCCAGCTATGGGTAAGGCAGGGCCCCATGCAGGCCCAAATTTGCGTTCAAGGGGTTTTGACCCTCTCAGAAGTTACCATCTAATAGGGGAAGGAAAAGTCACTGGAAATTCCAAGGCGGGGTAGGCACCCTAACCACTGGGTATAGAGTCGGGTGGGGGTGGTGGAGAGAGATTAGGCCCTCCTCTCTTTCCCATTTAATGCTTTTGGGGCAATTCTACTTTGCTCTTTAAGACCAAGCAGGGTCAGAGCTGAAAGGGGTGAGATCATCTGCTTTAGTGGCTTCCAGTCCACTGTTAAAACCCTAGTTTGTTAGGTGTGTCACCAATAATTTTCAAATGATTACCCTTTTTTATAAAATTAAATGGAGTTAGGGGCCGGCCCTGTGGCTTAGCGGTTAAGTGTATGCGCTCCACTACTGGAGGCCCGGGTTCAGATCCTGGGCGCGGCACCGACGCACCGCTTGTCCGGCCATGCTGAGGCGGCGTCCCACATACAGCAACCAGAAGGATGTGCAACTATGACATACAACAATCTACTGGGGCCTTGGGGAGGAGAAGGGAAAAAAAGGAGGAGGATTGGCAATAGATGTTAGCTCAGGGCCCGTCTTCCTCAGCAAAAAGGAAGATTGGCATGGATGTTAGCTCAGGGCTGATCTTCCTCTCACACACACACACACACACACACACACAAATAAATAAATCAATAAAATGCAGTTAAAGTTATCTCCTGAACACCATCCCAGCCAGCCACTTGTTTACATTTATTCATTCAACAGACATTTAGTGAGGCTGTGCCGTTTGCCAGGCCCTGGAAATGCAGCAATAAACAAAACAGACAGGGTCCCTGCCTTCCTGGGGCTTACATTCTGGTCATAATAGACAAGTGAATAAGCAAACAGGAGAATTACAGATTGCAGTAGTTGTAAGAAATAGGGTGTTTGAGGATGGCATTGAAGAGATGGTGTATGAACTGAGGTTGGAGGGATGAGGAGCCAGGGGTGGAAAGGAAGAACATTGGGGTTGAAGGTTGAGGAAAGAACATTCCAAGCAGTGGGAGCAGCAGGTGCAGAGATCAAGGAGCAGATAGGAGCTGGCGTGTTTGGGGAATAGAAAGCCGTCCAGCAAGTCTGGCATGGAGGGAGGTTAACAGGAGCTAAGATGGGGGCAGAGCCAGGTTAGATAGGGCCCTCTGTGGCAACAGGGAGAGGACAGCAAGTCATTATATTATAGCTATTGCTCCTGGAATGTGTCATGAGACCCACAGACCTTCTTATCTGTGTCTCTCTCTGCTCTTTCCTGATGTGTTATAAATAGTTACTCACATGTTTGGTAATGCAGTTAGTACACCCCAGAGAGAAAGTGCCGGCTGCCCTGTTTGCGCTGTATTTTGTGGTGTTCAGATTTGGTTGGAACCTGGGTGTGCCCTGATGGTTTGGCCATGTGTGTGCTGCAGTAAGAGAAAGAGTTGAGGGTAAAGGAGCAGAGCCAGAAGAGGGAAGGCAGCTCTTCTGGGGTAAGCCCTGCATTGTGCTGGAGGAGAGCCAGAGCCAGCCAGCACAGGCAGAGCATAAGATGGGGCCAAAAGATTGCTGAGAGCGCAGATGGTTCTCTAGGCCTTGGCAAAGGGCTCCCCACCCACCTTCTATCCTATTCGTCATAGGGCAGATTGACTGGGATACCAGCCACTGCTAATGCTAGCCCATAGGGTAATTTTGTGCAAAGTAGGAAAATGCCCCCCTTCCTCAAGATGCTCTACTTTCATCTTTTGGAAGATTGTTGTAATATACTGATTTTGCTAGGGAAAGCTACTTGACTGCTGTCTTAATATATAAATCTACAATGTGAATGATGCCCCTTAGATGTGGTGGCATTGGGGTCTATGGGTCATGAACCATAGGTGGTGGCTCCACCGGGATCCCTGACTTCCCCTCCTGCTGGATGGCCCTCCTCCCTCCTGCTCTGTTGCTGTGGTAACCTCCCTCTTTCCCTCTGTACCTCCTGGCAAGGTCCCGAAACTGGCCAGAGGCCCTGCACTGGTACAACACTGCCCTGGAGATGACGGACTGTGATGAGGGTGGTGAATACGATGGGATGCAAGACGAGCCCCGGTACACACTGCTGGCCAGGGAGGCCGAGATGCTATTCACGGGAGGCTGCGGGCTGGAGAAGGACCCGCAGAGATCAGGTAAGGTCTGGCAGACCTGCCCCTGGGGTGGGACAGGACTGGACAGGGAGGGTCATGATTCCTGTCTCACTGGAAATTATGGCAAGATGCAAGGCTGAGTCTCTTTTTTCTGCACTGGTGGGGAGAAAGAATCATACTGGCCCTGTATTTTGCCAGGCTGGATACCCATATGGTGCTGGCTTAGGAAGAGGCTTTATGTAGCTGGTATGCAGAGGAACATTTTTATTTTAATGGTTATATATTAGGGATTTGGGGTTTTTTTCTTTTTTTTCAATTTTGAAAATTGAGTTGACATTTTCATAACAGAAAATTCACCATTTTAAAGTGTACAGTTCAGTGGTTTTTAGTATATTCAGGGTGTTGTGCCTCCATCACCACTATCTAATTCCAGAACATTTTCATCATGCCCAAAAGAAATCCAGTAACTCTTAGCAGTGAGTCCCTATTTCCCCCTCCCTCCATCCCTGGCAATCACTAACCTACTTTCTGTCTTTATGAATTTACCTATTCTGGACATTTCATATAAATGGAATCATACAATATGTGGCCCTTTGTGTCTGGCTTCTTTCATTTAGCATAATATTTTGGAGGTTCGTCCATGTTGTAGCATGTGTCAGTACTTGATTCCTTTTTATTGCTGAATAATATTCCATTGTACAGATATACCACATTTTATTTATCCATTCATCAGTTAATGTACACATTATATATATTTTTTTCTGTTATATAATAAACATACTGAACACCTGATTTCACAGGTATGGGATAAGGCTAAGTTTAAGTGTTTTTTTTTGAGATTGTATAAAAAAATTAAGCAAATAATAATGCAAATCTATAATCCCTTACTTGAAATTTCTAAATCCAAAAAGCTCTGAAGACCAAGTGTTTTTGTACGTTTTGCACAAATTCATTTCATGGCAAAACTTTTCCAGTCCTGACATGAGGCTGTTTATAATCTTTATTTCTTCTCTTTTCTTTCTTCCACTTTCATACATCCCCAATTAGTCCTACAAAAGTCCTCAGCCTGATTCTCATTGGCTCAAATGGAATCACCCACCCACCTCTAAACCAATCACTGTGCTCATTGAGATGGCTTACTCTGATTGGCTGTGCCTAAGTCTGGACCAATCCCGGAGGCCTGGTGGGGAATGGAAGTGTGCTTTGATTGGCCAGGCTTGAATCACATGCCTACCCAGCGCCCCACTCAGGTCACATGGAGGGAGAGGGGATAAGGAGTAGTTTGGCTCCTTAAGAAACTTCAGGATGTTGTTCCCAGGGACCAGAGCAGTGGCAGGGGACACTGGGCTGGCGAAAACAACAGGTGGTTCATTTCTTCATGCCCCACTTTGCTCTCTTTCAGGTGACTTGTACACCCAGGCAGCTGAGGCTGCGATGGAAGCCATGAAGGGCCGGCTGGCCAACCAGTACTATCAGAAGGCGGAAGAGGCCTGGGCCCAGATGGAGGAATAACTTGCTGGGAAAAGCACTGCTGGCCAGTCCCAAGCAAAAGGGCTAGGAGGGGTGAAAAGAAAGACTTATTTACTTATTTAGGGGTTTTTCTGGGGGGGAGGGGCAAGTATTTTTAATGTGTTATAAATCAGCTTTTGTATTTCATTTTTTGACTCTTGAAAATATCTTTGCTACCAGCAGAGACACTATAGCTGTCTGCTAGGGCAGCATGTTGGGGGAATGGGGATTGAAAAAGCAGCCTAATGAATCAACATATCGTTTTGAGGTTCTTTTTGTTTTGTTTTGTCATGAGATGTAAGAAAGTGCTTTTCTGCTCTGGAAGGAAAATATTAGGGCCTTGCTCACCAGCATTTTCAGGCTGGACTGAAATCTTATGCTCACAGGGCCTGCGTTTCCTGAGTTGGGATGGGGAATGTAGAGCTGCACATTAGCTTTCCATGGGTGTGTATTGTCATGACTTAATCCACATGCTTCTTCCTGAGAGTATTTGGAAGCATGCATGGCACTATTCTGTGGATGTGAGATTGTACAATACCCATGCCGCGTTCTGCCGTAGGGGAGGGCCTGCACACTGACTGTTTTCTAATGTTTTAATTTCCTTCCCAAAATGCAACTGATTTTCTGGAATACAGCCAAATTCTGTTTTTAAGCATGCTTTCTACAGTGGACTTTATAAAACAGGTGTGATTTTTGTATGCACACATTTACTACCTCTAACTCCTCCATCAGCTAGTGTGGAAGTGGGTGCGCCTCAAAACTTTTACATATAACAGGACAGTGGCTTGGAATGTTGGAGCCTTTCCTCCAAGCAGACACGTACTCTGCACCTCAGTGGCAGCATCCACAATGTGACTGAAGTACCCCTGACACAGTATTCCTCCACATTTTCTTAGCATCTGATGTTTTCATGTAGAATCTGCTCCCCAAACCCCATCCTTGGCATTTTCTGCTTGAAGCTAGGCTGATTTTCTTGTAATTTGCAGCAGGATGCTTTCAGCAGCAGCCCCTTGAGATTTGTCTAAGCTGTTTGAGAATGAGAGGGCAAGAACTATAAACACTCATTAATTCCAGTAGTTTCCCTAGGGCCAGGCTATGGCTATCTGTATTTAATGAGCTTTCTCTTTAAAAAGAATTCAGATTTAATATCAGTGTGATGATTTCAATTGGTGTTTCAAATAGCAAAGAAAACAGTCTGCTTTGATCAACCCCAAGTGCTAATGTAGCCTCTCTTTCTTTGTTTAAAAATCAAAATATAAAAAAAGCAGATCGTAACATACACACCATTCTTATCTGTTCATTAAAACAGATCCTTGAACACTTTACTGTTAAGTGCTGTGAAGTCATGAAACCTGTGCCAGCATTAGGTTCCAAAGTTCAGAGTGTGCCCTAAAGGAAAAATCAATTAGAGTCAAAATGACCCTTGAAAAATCCTTTAGACCACCTATAAGTGACAGTATCCGTCGTTTTTGTATACAGACTCATCACAGCCAGTTTCCTTTAGAAAGAAGTTGGAACTGATCACCCTTTTTTCATTTACACCAGATCAAGTGGTCGGCTTGCATTTTTGGTGCATATGTTAAACATAAGTTAGGAGCAACTTTATTGTGATTTATCTCTTCAAAGGACTCAAGCCTCACATAATTCATGCTTTTGTCATTAATTCAGCCAGCCTCTTCTCTCTCTCAGATTTTATTATGCAAATAATTTATGTTCCCTGACCACCTGTCTCATTTCTTAGTTATATGTCAATGCTTTTCTCTAACACAGAGGTGGCAACTTTTTTGTAAAGAACCAGATAGTAAATATTTTAGATTTTGCGAGCCATATGGTCTCTGTTGTAGCTATTCAGTCCTATTTGCCATTGTAGTGCAGAAGCATCACAAACAATACCTAAACAAATGAGCGTGACTGGTGTTCCATTAAAACTCTATTTACAAAAACAGCCTGCCTGGGCTGTAGTTTGCCGACCTCTGCTCTAATCCTTGACTGAGAGCTATTGTATTAAGCCCTGAGGGCAAGAGCTATGTCAGTTTTTCGACCTCCAGGGCTCAAATACACAGTGCCTTGGCACAGAGTAGGCGCTCAATAAATGTGTGAACAAATGGAGAGCCAGCCCTAGTCACTGCACTCACTCTTTGTGGCTCTGGTTCTTCCAGTTGATGATTCATTGTCTGGATTGGCTTGAACCATCACCCCTGCAATTCCACCCTCCCACCCCCCCACATAGCCTTAATGTCAGCAGGTGGTCCCCTTCTCCTGCAGGAGGCTGGGGTGACCTGGATGTATAGCTAAGCAGATGCTTCTTTAAGGACCATTGAGAGTAAAATGATCTGCAAGATGTTGAGATCCTTCTGAACCAGCTGAAGAACTTATTCCACCTTCAAAACCTAGTTTTATGCCTTCTAAAGCTGGTTAGGGCGTCTTCTTTTTCCACAACTACTGGGCATGCAAAACAACAACAACAAAAAAGGCCCAGGACGTTCCAGCCTAAGTGGGAAGCCGTCAGAGACTATCTTCAAGTGCAGGAAGCAGCTGAAGGTCCGGGAGATAAGCAGAGTCAGGGATATAATCTGCTACCTTCAATGACAGATGGAGAAACCAAGGTTCTGAAAGGTAGACCTTTCACAGTGACACTGCCAGTTAGTGGCTAAACTGGAGCTCGGGTTTGAGAGCTGCTGTTATTTAGAGATCCTGGGAATAAAATTTAAAGTTCAACTGGAGTTTAATGTTCTTTTCAGTTTCACTATAGGTTAAAAAAAAACAACAAAACAGGCTTTATGGATAGAAGAAGAAAAAATAATCCCAAACCCCAGTGCTTCTGACTATCCCTCTTCCCTCCTCCTCACCTGAGGCATTGTGGGAATTTATCATCAAATGCAGCTTTGATGAACTAAGCCATGTAAACTACCCTTGTTGCTATTTTAGTGACTTATTTCCTTTTGTCCCAGCACATTCGTCTGCAGTACTGGACATGTTTTACAAATCAACAAATGTTTACACAAGTGTATGCAGCTTGTGTGGGGGAAAGGAGACAAATTATGCACATACTCTGCACGGATTTGTGCCTGTTATTCGTGTTTCTAAGTCTCTGAGGTAACCATTTAACCTAGACAAGGTGGACACAGGGTGGGACCCAGAGAAGTGGCTTGTGTCATAGATTTATTTTTACATATGTGTTAAGTTCCATTTTGTCTTTCCAAATAAAGTGATTTCTTTCTTTCCGGTCTCAAATTCAAATGTCTCCTGGTAACAAATGAGTGAAGAAATGTCGACGTAAATAATCCATGAGCAATCTATAAATCAAAATTGGGGTGAGTTTATTATGAGCCAACTTTTGAGGACCATAGCCTGGGACCTTCCTTCCCTAAGAAAGGAAGGGCACCAAAGAAGTGGGGTGTACAGAGCGGTTATATATCATCAAAGAGCGTGTATCACATATGATTGCAATGTCCCTTTTACAATAGCCACAAGCTCGCCCTGCCAGATTGCCCTGATAGAATAGCTATTGATGGACGCAGTGGGGAGCAGGTCTGCTGTCTCAATGGGCGTGGCTGGTGTCAGGTTTGTTGTCTTGAGCTGGGTGGTCACAGGATGACTGCAGCAATCAAATCCTAGCCTAGGGAGAAATGCTTATCCTTAAGGAACTGCCAATGTGGGGGGAAGTTGCATCCTTATCTTAAGAGCATTTACTCTTCTCTTAGGGACATGGCAAAGCAGATACACAATGCAGGTGAGAGGCCCTGTTGGAAAAACAAACTCAGACTGAATTAGTTTTACCCCAAATGGCTTCCTCATATGCTAATATATCCTATTGCTTGCCATATATTTATCAGTAGTTTGCTGGAGCCGGAGGTGAATTGTGGGGCTCAGGCCACATCTGAAATAGGCAGCCAAGATTCAGCTCTGAGTGATTGTCACCATGAGGGGCGTCGGCCCAATGTTGCCCCATTTTCTGATTTTTCAAGAGCTGCTGAAAATTGGATTTTTTACTACAAGGTCTCCTGATTTCTAGCATTTCTAATAAATTGTAATTAAAAAAAAGCCTTCTACATTTGGCCCATATGTTTTCCATTTGCTTTAGATAAAGTATGTGAATCTCTCTCTTTTCTTGATTTTTCTCATCTATAAAACAGAAAGAATAATCTTTACCATTACAGAGTTGTCATCAGCTTCAAAGAAGATAATGCATGGTAAAGATGCTTTGTGATCCAAAGCTTGAGAAAATCTTGGTTACTGGTATGGTCATTTGGTTTTAAGCTAATGGCTTTTTAATTTTAAGAAATTTGAACATTAGCATGACTGTGCATGGTAGATTGAACATACACATTTAGGTCCATTTTCTCCTAAATCCCCACTAAAAGGACAGGAAAGAGATTTTCTTAACGGCATAAGCCCACGAGGATGAAGAGGAAGAGTTGTCAACAGCAACAAAATTTTGGATGCTGGAAAGCTGGTGGAGTGTAATTCAATTAGTGGACCCAAGAAGGATGGATCCTAAGTAAGCAGTGGAGAAATCTAAGAAACAACCCAATTTTCATCATCGAAGAACCCCCAAAAGGCTGAAGAATTGACACCAGGAACTCTGGAAGAGGGAATGAAATGGGGCTGAAAATGTAGGGTCGGTTGAAAGACTATGAAAGCATCAGACCACTAGACTTGCTCACTTCCCCTGTGTAGCCAGCCAGCTGCCTCTCCATCACCCTGCCAAAGCCTGGGACACCAGGCACAGTAGAAGAAGCTATTCTACTGAAAGGAGGGGTAAGTGCAAGTTTCCATATTGGATATAAAGTCTCCACTAGCCCCCGTTTTCCCCTGCGCTCCCAGGCACTGGCAGCTTGATTTTGACAGACAATTGGAGAAATCCCTAGAGAATCTGACCAACCCACGATAAAAGACTTATAGGTACTTCCCCTTAATGAAACAGGCTGGCTGGAGCACCTCACAGGAAAGGCCTCAGCCACCAAGCCCCACCCACACTCACAGAAATTCCCAGACAACTTATCAGAGCTCTGTTCTTAAACTTGAACAGCTGGCCAAAGACCTATATGTAAGGAAATCATTTCATATGAAAGATGGATTAAACCAACAGAAGAAAGCATCTTGGAGAAAACAGAAATAGCCAGGAGAAGAAACTTTAAATGACAAAAAACTATCAATATGCTTAGATAAAATACTGCATCCATGAAAATAGCAAGATTCAATTCTAAAAATTTACAAAACAAAAAGAGCTCTTGTAAATTGAATATA